GTTTTTTTCTTGAAATTTCAAGTTAATAAGTTGAAATTTCAAGTTAATAAGTTATCACAGATAAAATCAGACACTATCTTCTTGCAATCTTCGTTTGTTTTTTCATTCAACCCTATGAAAACGAGGTTGTCTCTCATCGATCTTGCCTGGATATCGAGGATGCTCTCCTTCAGAGTGTTGATGTCCGTCTCACTACCCCTTTTACTGACCTCGCTTATCTTTTTATTCAGCTCCTCAATCTTCTGACTCTGTCCAACCAGTCTTCTCTCCATTTCGTTGAACTTCTCTTCCTGGTAACTTGCTGCTAGTTCTACATTACCGGTAGTCCCTCTCACTGCTTGCAGCTCCTTTTTATTGCGTCCACTCTCCTAGTGATTCCACTTATGCTACCTTCTATCTTGTCCAGCTTACCGAGGAATTTATCGTCCATCTGTCTGGTTGCGAGGAAGAGCTGATCTCCCCAGAGGCTGCAAGTTATGGGGTGGGGACGACACTGGTACCGCCGCGGGGGCTGGGGATGTGTATGGAGCAGTAGTAAACTGTCCTACAGGAATCCATGTTGTACATACCCGGCACAGAGTAACCTTGTTGAGACGCCATTTCTCGTATTTCTTCTAGTCTCTGCGAAGTATTTTCTTCATTATCGATATTTAACTTTTTTAGGACATTTTTCTTCGTTAGGAGGGCTGTTTGAATCTTTCTTTGGCTTGCCGCCACTCTTGTGTTTACCGCCTTTGTTAGTCATACGACACTGCCCTTGGGGATTAAGTAGTGGGCGGTCAGGAGCTCTCGAAAACACGTCCTACCCTTCGACGGTCGGCTTGCTCGTTATCCCTCGTCCAGCCATCGATGATCACTAGCATTTGTCAACCATCACTGCTGATATAAACATACCGTGTTGTAAAAATAAGTGAAATTATCTTGGTTACCAAATCAATCAATCAATCATTCAATCAGTTTTAGAGAGACTACCCACCCCACATTCTCCACATTCAAATCTTGTGAAACATTTTCTGAAATATATTGGCCCATACATGCAGAGATATTTTTCCATGTGTAAACCCAAAATCGAAATACAATTTGTTTAATATGTGTACTCCATTTGATTCTGCCAGTAATAGCAAGCGATATGTAGGCTATAACTGTAAAGTTAGACTTTTCCTACACAATTGTAATGTCAATTTTTCTAGAAGGCATAAACAGGACGATATTGATCTAATTAAATGTGCAAACTGTAAATTGGTCTTTATTGAGGATGAATTTCGTGTATTATTAGTTTGTAATAAATATAGAGATCTTAGAGAGAAATATCTTCTACATATTAAACATGTCACTAAATTCAATATGTTAATGGTAAATTTATTAAAATTTCAGAATCCTCTTGCTATATACATGCATTTGCAACATTGTTAAAGCATATATTCATTGTTAGGTAATTACTTCAATTTGTGCTCATATGACATTATAAATACATTATACATTAACTGTAAAAATGGGCCATAAAGCCGTATATTACCGAATTAAGTGTCTGTCTGTCCGTCTGTCTGTCTGTCTGTCTGTCTGTCGGTCTGCCATAATTTAGGTCCTTCACGAATTAACATAGAATCAGATAATTGAATATGGTTTCACTGCAGACTTCATTGTTACAAATACACACAGAACCATATTATTTAGAGCAAACATTAAAACAACTCTGAAACCACGTCCGAATATTACACATGTACCAAGTCATGATTGATTGACTCATCATCATATAGCTGTCACAAGCGCTTCTTTGTCATGAACAGTTACTGTGGGACACTGCTACTAATAATAAACACCATAACATGTAGTTTCATACCAGATATCCACAGACGATTTCCAAGCACCTGCCAGTGTCCTATCCCAATACCATTGGACAGTCTGTTTAGGAGTAGCAAATGATCCACAGTGTCGAATGAATCGTCAGAAATTCACAGACGAGTTCCAAGCACCTGCCAGTGTCAGATGGTGATGGAGGTTGCTCATGATATCAATCACAAGTTTGTCTTTTCCAGATTTGGTTTGTTTTAGGCGAGGTCATTTAGCTTTGGTTTTGCTGTTAAACTACATACACAACCTATGGTTCAGAACACACATCAAACAGTTGTGAAAACATGTCCGTATATTATATACTGAGTCAAAAAAGAAATTTCACAAAATGTAATTTGAAAAATAATGAATAATATTTCTCTGATGATACATCTATGTATCCGAAATGGGATCCCTATCTTTCGACTCTAGAAAAAAACGTTAGCAAAACCCACTCAAACCCATCCATTCGTCGTGCAAATGACGTTAGTGCCAAATCAGGTTTTGCACGTGCAGTCGATCACGTGATTTTCGCATCGAAGTTTTCTTCATATGCACGTGTTTGCATTGGCCTCAAGAATTGAAAAAACACTTTAAAACCACAGTTCTAACGGTACTTGAAATGCCACGATTGTCAAATGTGCAACGTGAACGTGCCGTTGGCATGTTGCAAGCGGGAAGATCAGTTATTGACGTCGCAAGAGCAATGGGATGCAGCCGTCGTACTGTGTATGACTTGCGAGGTCGTCTACAACAAACTGGCACCACTTCTGATCGCCCAAGGTCGGGTCGTCCGCGTGTGACGTCACGAGCAGAAGACCGTCAAATCGTCCTACGTCACCTACGTGACAGATTTCTGCCGGCTACACGAACCAGGGCTGAGATGTTTAGAGGTCGACTGTCCTCACACACCATTCGAAACTGGAGACGACGTCGTGAACGGTATGCCCAATGTTGTGTACAGGAAGTCGACAGATTTGGGGTGGAAGTTGCATGGTGTGGGGTGCTTTCTGTGGGAACAACCGTTCCCGACTTCTGGTCATCCGTGGAAACCTCACAGCTGCTGCTTACCGAGACCAGATGCTCACCCCTGAACTCGTTCCTTTCATGGCGGCTCATGGCCCAGGTCTACAGTTCCAGCATGATAATGCTCGGCAGCATACCGCGATGTTGACATGAAATTTCCTACAAAACGCTGGGATCAACGTCATGGACTGGCCATCGATGTCCCCTGACCTTAATCCAATAGAGCACGTTTGGGATGCACTTGAGAGAAGGCTTCGTGGTCTCAGGAACCAACCTCAGAATTTGCAGGAACTTGGCGCTGCATTGCAAGAGCAATGGCGCAGAATCCCCAACCACGTGTTCACAAGCATCAGGCAGTCGATGAGGAGACGGTGTTTGGCAGTGGTGAATGCGCGGGGCGGCCATACACGATATTGAACTGAGAAATTTCGCATTTTTATTCTTGTGACTTGACATTCTGTATACCCATGTTTTGGAACGGCGGTGTAGCCTAATGGAACTGATTATGGCACTGTCAGTGTATCGAGTACATCACACAGATCTCAGCAATGAAATAATAACAATTTAACCATCTTACCATATCTTGTTCTTTTATAGTGCCCTGCAGAAAGAATGTGAAGTTTCTTTTTGACTCAGTAAAGATTGTCCCATCATCAAATAGTTATCTCAAGCTATACCCAGAAGCTGTGAACAATTTAAACTACTATATATTTACTAACTGATACATTAGTGTGCCAAATCTACAAACACCCTTTACACTATTGAAAGATGAGTTTGGGGTCTCTATTCAGACATAACAAGTACACAAAGTTCAGGTCGCTTGGCGGTCGACAGCTTGCGGTGCAAATTCAGGTTTTGTGTGTCAAGGTTGCACAACGATAGCGCTGGACAGAGAGTACTTACTCCCAGTACAGGCAAGGGTGCAACACAGCTACATGTGACTACGCCGGGTGAAGCTGTAGCAATATATTAAGGTTAACTCATAGTCGTGAAATACATAAAACTGTAATTCGAACAAACGGACGCTGTATCAGTCAATTCCTGTTGCCATGGCATTGAGGAGGAAAAGTTGCGCTCATTACAGGTGAGATTCTTCATGGTGTAAGTTGTGTAAGGATCAGCATTTCATGTCTTTGTATCCCCGGAGATTGGTATGTAAGGCACGCATAGGGAAGAATACAGTGGCAGAAGTTGTGCTTATTACAGACGAGATTGTTCACGGTGTTGGTTATGCGAGGATGTTTGTATGCCCGGAGATTCGTCTTTGATATAAACACTCAACAATGCACATCATCAGATAGGATGAAATCTTTTTCTAAACACTTACTGTGACAATTAAAACCTGAATCATCGGCTCTTACAAGCTTGGCGTAATTGCAAAGTAAGATATAACTCTATTCACTTGTACACAGGCATATACACACGCGCACGCACACACAATGAAGAGCTGGGAATCGGGAAATGATTGTATGATGTCAGTCAGCACGTTCTTCCTTTCAGGTTCCTGTTCAGGAATTGGGGCTTCCGAAAACCTGAATATAATTGAGACCTCTTTTAACACAAATCGCAAAAAGTTAAGCGACTTGGCAATTTACTTCTATAGATTTACACACTTTTCATAAAACTGTAGTTAGAGTCTTAGAAAGTAGTGAACAAGTACTAAGATTACATTTGGAAAGTAAGTAGATGGAGTCTTCAAGAACTATATCAGGAATTCAGAAATATTCTCTATCTATGACATTTAGAAGTCCAGGTTACATGAAGGAAATAGCCATTATGAGTTATGTCTGAAACAAGAATAGGCACTTTTCATGTTGTGTTTGTCCAATTGTCCGATTGTTTAACAATTTATTTTCAGGAGTAAGAATTTCTACTTTAATATCAAAATCCATTCGAGCATGGAAACATCTAATACCTCAGCCCCTTTTCACTATTCGGACGGTACTGGAATACTCAAATAAGAATGGCTGAAATATTGCCGAGGTGACGTTAAATTCTAACTCACTTACTCACAAAAAAGACATGTAGGCTTGTAATAGACCATCTTTACAAATTTGGCTTAGTTACATATCCATCCTGCAAATGCCGTCACCACACGAACTGACTCATTATAAAATATAATTTGATTTATACGCTGTAAGAGCATGCCCCTGATGATTTTTCGCTTTGTGAGTAAAATAATTTAAACTCATACACCTATTACACGGAGAATCCACAAACCATTAGATTAAACATGCCTTGGTTTGGTGTAGAGTGGCTTTTACCATTGCCATGGGTATATATTATGGCAATACCACCACGGAATAGTCCTGATCTGGGATCCTGATCCAGATCTGACCCCATTTTGGAACCACTAGGCCAAACCATAGTTGTATGAGGCCACTCAAGACATCGGATGTTCATTGGATAACTGGATTTATTTTGATATCATCAATCACAAGATTCTCTGGATTTTGTACAGGTAGTCCTTAAATTACCGGTTGTTTAAAAAGTACATGAACAATTGTGTCATTTGGTTGTGTTTAGGTGAACAATGCTGGAATCGCAGGGGATCAGCACGCTGCAATCAGCGACCAAAGAGCTGTACGACAGTGTCATGGCCGTACACGTGGAGGCACCTGTGTTTTGACACAGTTAGTTGCGCCGTGTTTGATTAAAACCAAAGGTACTTTCTTGTGAGTGAGTGTGTCAGTATGACGAAAGGGATGATTTCAACTTGCCAATAGTCAACTTCTCTTTCATGTCGAGCAATATTCCACCAGCCTTTGATGTTTACAATTTACAACACTGGATTGTTTGCTTACAAACATCATACAGCTGCAATGCTGCTGAAGCAAAGATATAGATATAGTCATGATACAGTTACAGTTGTACAATCAACTCTGCTTTTAGGAGAGACTTCTTATGAATGTGGTAAGGGTTTCTACTTACCATGTGTGTGGTTTTTGGCCTGACATTATTTTCAACTAGTGATTTCTCAGGATAATTAAGTGCATCAAGATTTTGGACAAAACAATGTTTAACAGGAGCATATGCTGGGCGTTGCCACCAGAAATTGTTCCTCGTTTCAGACAAAGGATATGATTGTACGTCTTGATGCAGTGATCCGAACGCATTCAGGACTTAACATAGGTCAAATAAACATTTTCCAGTAAATAATATACAAATAAGATGTCCAAATCTAAAACCTGATATTTTCCTGTTTTCTTCAGAAGCATGTTACGTATGTCAGTCGTTAAAGGGCTTAACACATCTTTTTGTTTCAGGATGTGTGGTTAATATCTCATCTTGCAGCACGAGTACAATTGTGAGTGTGATGTTGACAAAAGCAAGAATGATTCACAACCTGTAAAACCAATCTCCTTCAACCCTAATCGGTTGATTTCAGAATAGGCCACACGTACCGCGTGCTGACGCAAAGGTATGACCAAAGTGAGTGTTGTGTGAGTAAAGGAAGAAGAAGTAGTGGTAATTTAAGTGTCCTCCCTTTTGTTGTTGGTAGATTCCAATTTACAAGGAAATGGGAACGTTGTACACCTGCATGTCACCTTTGTGGTGTTGCATTTGGCAAGTCACTTGGTTTGTTGTTTGTGTCCATTGTGTACCCTGTTTTCTGTCATCACCCCTATATACAGGTAAATTTGTCGGAGATGGTGATTTCAGGTGTTGATATAATGTTGTTTTGAAAACTAAAGAGGAAAAATGTTTCAGATCCAATTTTACCGTGATGGGCCAAATATTGAACCTTATCCTACCTCGCCGTTTTAGATATCTGTATGAACTGGAGTAAACCATCTACATCTGTTAATTCCATCTATCATGCAAAGACCATTCAACTTATGATCAACCTTCTCTCCCGTGCAGATTCCGGGATTCGGTGTCTGCGTCATGTCGAAGGCGGCCTTGGATACATACACAAGATACCTTGCACATGGTAAAAATGCTAAACGTTTCTGAAAAACTTGTGTTGCCCACTCATGTGAGGTGATAGAGTTTGCTGTGCAGACCTTTACTGATCAACCATCCAATAATCGTTGGTTGTAACCGAGCATTCAAATTTTGACGACGAAACATCACGCTGTACATATAACTACACCTAGTGAAATGCTTCATCTCCATTATTTGCGATCCAGTCAAGGCAAAGGTGATAAGTGCTACCTAAAGGCCCGAGGAAAATATGTTCAACAGTAGAATCATTGAGAACTTTTAGGAACACACAGTTTTGCCACTTGTCATAGACTCTTATACATGATGATGCTAACTGTTTACATCTTTTATAGGTGAAAGGACAAAAGTGGTGGATGGTTAAAAGGTTAGAGAAAAACTGACACTGGAATTCTATTTCACATTGTGCAGAAACTGAAACTTCTAAAAATATGAAAGTAGCTTTAAACCAAATCAGTCACTCAATGTGAAACACGAAAAGCCTTTAAAGAGGCAACGTTGGAGGCACCTGAGTAAATTAAGAAATTTAGTGAAATGAACATAATATGATTTGGAGATGAGGATGATTTTAAAAGCATCACAATGACCAAGAGGTTTACTTTAATTAGAGATCGGTACTCGCATCGCAAACACTGTACTCTCATCACCAGTATAGGACATTTACTCTAACCATGACTGGAAGAGAAGTGCTAGTGACGGACGGAGGAAATATAGTCATACACAGTGCCACTGCTGAGGCAGCGTCTGTAAGCACAGTGATTATTAAGATGGCATAACACGTATGCTCACCGCTCAGCACTCACGGTTGGCTGAAAGTTAATTTGTAATAATTCAAGGGCATTTTGTAGAGAAAAATAGCTTTAAACCAAATCAGTCACTCGATATGTAATAAACAGATTCAGCTTGAATATGAAGTACATGGTTTTATGGAACAAGAACTCCGAGTTAAACTTGGTTCAAAAGGAGCTATACCTGTCACAGAAGGCAATTGGTTGATAATATGTTACTAAACAGCTTTACCAACAAGCGAATAAACAGCTTAATTTCTCTCTACAGAAATGGTTTCACACGGAGTACGCGTGAATGCAGTCAAGTAAGTACACACAGAAAGGTAATATTTATATAGAAAGTATTGTTGACTTGCTTTAGTCAGTGTATGACCGGTTTTGTTTGTTGTTAAACGCCGCACTCAGCAATATTCAAGCTACATGGAGGCGGTCTGTAAATAATCGAGTTGGACCAGACAATCCAGTGATAAACAACAGGAGCATCGATCTACGCATTTGGGATACAGTAGTATATACAATGGGGGTTCTGGATCACTTTCAACCAAAGCCTCTGCAAAGCCTTATTTCACAAGTAAGGCTTTGGTCGGACCCTTGGCTCTTGCTACCATTACCCCTACTATAAAAAAGTTTGGGACGATAGCGGGATACGAACGCACCTCCTAGGCGCACCGGGGACATGGCTGGAGTGTGTTGGTATCCTGGGGCACCGCTATGCCGTGTTGACCGGAGGTAACACTGTGCCGTACGGTACGATCAATAATTCCGCTCTTACAAACCCCCTACCTGGCCCATCCCTCAAGTAGTACAAGTTAGGCTCGTCGGCTTTCATGTCAACTTTATCTATGTTGTAAGTTTTGACTGACCATATAGGATCGGTGGCTCGCTTACGGCTATCACCCTCGTGTTCCCCAGGCTGGTATAGATACCTCACTAGGGCCCTATCTGGTATCTGTTTCTCTTTCCCACGCAATGGAGCAGCCGACTCTGCAACTATTGATTTTAGTTTGATAGCGTCTGCCGGTTTCTTGCCGGTGAGACGGGTGGCTTCATGGTTGATTGCTGACGCCACCTTAGGTAACCTCGCGACCCATTCAGTCGATCGCTTTCCCGGGTTGGACATTTCCCTCGCATACTGATGCCCGAATAAGCGCTCAGCCAAAGTCCTATTAAATCTCTCAACTATGGCTTGGCTGCGATGGGCTCCAGCCGTGCCACGCCTGACCTTTGTATCGTGTTTGGCTAACAGGTGTGACACGACACCCATGAACTCCCGCCCGGGGTCAACTTGCAGCTCTGTTGGCCACGTCAGCGGACTGCGTTTGTATATGCGTTCGAATCCTCTGGCTACCTGGGCCGAATCTTTCGCGGTCAAGGGTTCGGCTTCCTTGTAGCGACTGGCCACGTCCACTACGGTTAAGGCATACTTGTACCTCTTGTCGTGGGGTAGGAACAGTAGGTCTGCCTGGTGAACGCTATTGGGTATGTTAATACCGAACCTCCTTCTAGGTACGTAGCGTGGTGCCGGTAAATAGATCTGCCACAGGGCTTGTTTTTCAAGCCACGCTTTGGCTCCTCCTGGGGTACTCGCGCCATTTTAGCCAGCTTATCTACAGCGCTAGCTCCTTTCCAGTACCCACGCGGGCTGTAGTAAATAGCCTCAAACTTTTTCTGGTTCAATTTTCTCATGCCCGTACGCGTACGTGTTGATCCCATCAATAGCTATCCAACGTTTAGTGTCCATAGGCGACAGGGACGTCTTGTTTATTGTCAGTCCGTATATCCTATGGCCATCACTTCTAAGTGTGTTCATTTTATGCCTAAATGTACGGGTCTTGAACAGGGCTTCCTTGAATCTGGCGTGTTTGATGTGTTGTTTCACCACGTACTTCTTAACACCCTTAGCCTTCCGGATCTCACCATTGTCGGCCTTCAGTATGGAGTACATCTTAGGCCTCAAACCTATGTACTCGGCTATGGGCGTGCCGGCACACTCGTCTTTCATCTTACCTAGGACCTTTTTATTTACTGTGCTGTGTATGGCATGGTCCTTGGGGTAGTCGCTGGTGTCGTACAAATCGAGGTGTTTTTTCATGTCCTCGTACACGTCCTCAGTTCGAATCTCCATCAGCAGGGAATCCGTGTCAGTGTACAGCACTTCACACCTGTCGTCGTACTGTTTCTTAAGCTCGTTGTAGTAAAAGTCGTACATCAGGTGTTTGGATAAATCGAGGATGCTCATCCCCACGTAAACAGGCCGGTTGAATTTTATGTGGCTTTTCTTCATGTGTAGGGCAACTAGGTCATCGGTGAATATCTTGCTACGGTTGAATGCCGGACTGGCTATCAGTCTCCTGAGCTTGTCTTCCTCATTCGACCGAACCAGCTTCACGGTCACGCGTTTCCTCAGGTTCTCCATAGTCTTACCGAACACCGAGTTGTTCATGAGCTTGTAGAGATTTTTCTCAAAGTCACTGGTTGCAAGCTTTCGGAGGTCTGTGTTCATTCTGATGTAGGGTTCCATCCATGGGATCTGGTCGAATATGAGCACCCTGTGTATTTTGGTCAGCCTCATACCCAACGACAGGTACAGCTGTAGGTTGCGATAGTGAACTATGTACTTGGTCTTATTCATTAAGTTAGGCACGAGTTTTTCAACGTCTGCCACCCGCCCACCTAACAAGTTATGTTGGTACTCAGACATCCAGTCTGGGTTAACCCTCATACGTTCGGGGGCTAGGGGGTAGCTGTTGTGTGATGTGTGTAATGCCTTGGGGTATTCCAAGTCAACCTCGAGGATATAACCTTTGTTCGAATCTGGTGCGATGCTCATAACATCGACCTCGGACGATACCCATTCGAATCCCCCCTGTGGGTAGATACTGGCTCATGGCCCAGCCGTACAGGTTATTGGCGTCGAGGTAGAGAATATGATTGGTTGGCTTGCTAGGGTCGTAGCCCTTCATGTATTGATTATTTGCTTTCGCGTATCGTTTGGTTGCCATGGAGATCCCACCTCGCAAGCCTTTCTCAATGAATAGGTGCATGTCATAATCTGTGAGCAATTCCAACTTAACTCCGGTCTTTTCAACAAGGCATCCCACGACAGACCTGGGCTGGTGTAATACCATGCGGGGTCGAGTTTATACTGCTTGAAACATGTCCGCCTAAACGTCTCAAACACGTCGGCTAACAGCAGTACATCTGTCCTCAAGTATAGGTCGTGATAGTCACCCAGATTCTCACAACCCAGTTTATTCCATACGTTAATAGCGTGCGAGTAATCGTCTTGGGATATTTCCGAGTCTGTCAGATTGCTGTAAAATTCTCTGATGGGGGGTAGTCTGGTCTCGGCGAACTTGGCCCAACTATCCATGTACTCATAGGGGTACACACCCTTCCTCATAAGCAGGGGTCTAGTCTCGGCGTCTGTGTATCGATCGGTAATAGGGAAGGTATCATTGGCCTTGACCAGACTGTCGAGTGACGACAATAAAAATTGTACTGAATCTATGAACCTAAGGCCGTTTAAGCTGAAGGAGATGTATCTCTCCATGTTGTTGGGGATACACGTTATATTACCGTCGATTTTCGCGATGGCCTGCATGATTAAGTGAGAGTCGTACCCTCTCAAGTTGTGAAAGACCACGGGGATGTTTATTGTCTTAGGGATGATTCTAAGCGTGAGGTTACACGCTGCTGTGCCGGCCTCTATACTTACCAGTTACGTGGCAGTGATCTCTCACCCGAATGACCGTTAAGTGGTGAGTCACACACGTGGCAGTTAGTGCTACAGGCGTGAGCTAGCCTGTCGGTTTGGGTCATATACGCATGGGAGCGACCCTATACAGTGCGTTCCTAATAATTTTTTCTTCCTCCTGCAAACACTTAAGAAACCTTTCAGCCGCGTCGGGGCCCCTATACACTACCGGAGCTTTCGTTTCCCCATCACATCAGACGACCACGTATCCAAACCCACAGGCTTCATGCTCCTGTGTTTTGAGTGTGGTTGGGGTACCCCCAACAGCCCCGCCGGCGGCAGCCTCAACAGGTTTAACCAAGGCTTCAAAGTCGGCGTATATGATATAAGGCACAGGCATTTGGTTCTTGTGGTTACCGAATTTTAGGATATTGTCACCTTCTTTAGGCATGTCGACTCGTATAGCCGTCTGCCCCACACCTTGGCAATCCTCCCGGTGGGATTCTAATAAATCAGCTCGTGTGAAGCCATGTGGGCACCGTTCGCAGAAGTGGGTCCTTTCTCTGTGTGCCGATTGGTCATACAACAGCCTGCTAAAGTGTTTTATCCATGTGTAGTGGTACTTGTCACCTCGCTGGATCATGAATATATTGATAACGCGAGGGGGGTTCCCCCCCCCAACACTGGGCTTACTCTGTGCACTATTGTTGTGTTACCTTCGTGCCCAAAGACATTTATAGCTAGATTATTCTGTTTTTCTATTTTAGTTATCTGGGATATGGGGGTGGGTTCATCTATACCATCCCAGTTGAGCCCATCGTCTTGGGGATAACTAGAAGGCCTGTTCGAATTAGTGTCAGCTGGAAACAAGGCTGACCTGATAGCTAACCTCAAGCAATCGTCTCCTCTATTCCTGACGTTGACCATGGCATGTTTTTTCCTATAGTAGGGAGGCAAGTCTAGGTATGACCCGCCTCTGAACGGCACGTAGTTAGCTATGTCTAGATAGACATTATCGATTTTATCTACAGTCCACCCAGACCCCAAGTGTGTGTAGCGTTCTAGGTATTCTCGTATCTGCTGAAAACTGGTATCGACTGATGCGTCAATGGTCTCTGTATGCGTGACAACCTCTTGTTTACCTCGGCAGTAAGGCTGAACGTACTCAGTGACCCCAGTGGGGGTTCCCCCCACGCCCCCTACCTGCTTATCGAGCGACATTTTCACTGTGATTTGAAATTTGATACTTCCTAGACTGTTTAGTTCCTGGTTTATTTTATCAACTATCAGAGGCTTCATATCTATAATATCTATGTTCCTATCAACATGCATGCGCCAGCCTCTTAAATAATTACCTACAGCGCGCTCAGTGCGCACGAACTGTAGGTCAATAGCTCTATTCTGCCGTAATAGTTCTACAAGCTGTGGTTTCCTCATACGGGAATATCCCCCTAACCCCAAATCACGTGCCTGAACTTTCAGTTGTTTTACAGTGGGGAGCTGACGGTTACCGTTCAGCGCTCCGGGGGCATGTGATAACAATGTGATTAACCCGGCTCTCCCCAGGTTTGAATAACCCGTGAATCCAAGCTGTTTTGCTTGAGCTTT